GAGATTATGTCCTCTGTCCTCAGAGAATTTTTGCAAGGACCAAATGAGATCATTTTATGCACAGTTACCGGGTACCCACTGAGAAGTGTTACCAAATGCCATAATGCCTCCGCTTTGCTTGTGTGACTCAAATGATCTCATTGAACCACATACCCGCTTTACTAATATTAATACTAGGTAATACTAATATTAAAAGGAGCTCTGGTAGCGTAGTGGTTACGAATCGGGCTGTGAACCACAAGCTCAGCAGTTCGAAACTACCAGCTGTTTCACGGAAGAAAGATGAGGCTTTCTGCTCCTGTAAAGATTTATAGCCTCGAAAACCCTGTACAGGGTCGCTATGAGTCAGAACTGACTCCACTGCACATAACAAAAACAACAACAATACTAATATTACCTCAAAGCACAAATCAGGCTCTGGAGGGTTCCCAGGTAAGAGCTGGCAAAGCCAGGGTGCAAGCCATCTGCTCTGATTTGAAGACCATCAACCCCTTAGTCAAAACATGATCCTGTTCTCCGTATAGTTTGTGCAACGAGTGGTAAGATTCTTCCTTGTGTCTCTCTCTAAAGTTTGTGCAAACACCTCTTAGAAAAAGATCTCAGACCAACCTTTCAAATGAGTTTCTTCCGTAGACTATTTGGTCCCATGGTTCTGGGCACCGGAGTAGCAATTCTTCTTCTAGGAAAAGCAAAGGACATTTAGAGGAGGATTAGAACTTTTTCTGTCAGTTTCTGAGTTATATGAGAACATCTGAAGAGTAAATACCTTTCTAATAAGTAGAAAATGTTCTTCAAGAGTAGTTCTTGAAGATGACATGGTGAACAACTCCTGGACAGCCCACTGACTGGAGTCCTGACGACTGTCTTTGAAGTCCAGCTCACCTCTCCCCATGGCTTCTCCTATAGCCCTGGCCACCACTATTCATCCTTTTCGCCTAGAGCCAAGGCCAAACAGCTCAGTGCCTAAATCGACTCAATTTTTACCCATGTGTGTTTCATCAACACTCACTTCAGCAAACTTTTACTGTGTGTCTTCTACGTAAAAGAGCAAGCTGCAATGAGTACAAAGTCTCAAAGAGAAACTGCTTCTTCAGGAAGCTTTTAAATCTAGCAGATAATATTGAGTGTCACATCAAATCTAAGTGCTAAGAGAGAGATTCAAGAAGACAGAGAAAAGACGTCCAGTGTGAGGACTGAGAAAGGATGTCTTCAGGAGGTGGCATGTAAAATAGGCCTTGGACGAGAACCAGAACTTGGGCTGAGATGGAGGAAGTGTAGAGATAAGACTGGACATCTGAGATAGGCCCATATGGCAGCAGAACTTGACTGCATGGTGCATTGACTTTGGTAGACAATGGTCACTGTTTGAACGTCTGTTGGTCACGGAGTAATATGATCAGAGTTTTAATTAGGGAAATAATGATTTGATGGCTTATGGAGATGGCCTATCAGCTAGTAGGTTATTTTATTTGTTCAATAAATGAAAAGAAAAGCTGAACTCAGGCAATCGTATGGAGATGGGGAGGAAAGAGGCCTATTATTTCTGGGAGAAAAGAAGCCATTTCATATTTATTCTTTTTTCTTCCCCAGTCCCAAAGTATTTCTCAAGACTGTAGTAGGTATTTGTTGAGTTCTAATTGATTTTTGAGTCCTGGTGTGGTGCTGTGGGTTAATGTACTGGACTGCAAGGTCAGTTTGAACTGTAAGGCTGGCCATTCAAGTTCACCAACTGCTCCTTGGAAACCCTACATAGGGTCATTATAGGTTGGAACTGACTCGATGGCACTCAACAACAACAACAATAGATTTTTACTTTGTGGGTGTTTCTTCCCTCCCCAGATGAAAGCTGCTTTTGATGAAACATAGGTTATGTGCGGATGGTTTGGAGACAGAAGAAAGGCTAAAAACCAACTGCTGCATGTCATCTTGAAGTAAATACAGAAGACGGAGAACTTCAGAACCTTAATTTCTAAGAAGAAAAGTTCTTCAGTTTAGTGACTGACTATAGGCATGCTTAGTAATTAAATGATAGTAGGTGATTTTAAGGAGTCCTGGTGTAGCGCTGTGGGTTAATGTGCCAGACTGTAAAGCCGTTTGAACTGCAAGGTCAGCAGTTCAAGCTCACCAGCTGCTCCTCGGAAACCCTATACAGGGTCACTATGAGTCGACACCAACTCAATAGCACTTCACAACAACAAGTGATTTTAAACATTAAACAATTAAAAGGAATAGATAAAAAGACATGATGTTGTTAGCTGGTCCCCAATTCATGGTCACTCCATGCACAACTCAATGTCAGCAGTTCAAAACTACCAGACGCTCCACGGGAGAAAGGCGAGATTTTCTGCTTCCATAAAGATTTACAGCCTCAGAAACCTATGCAGGGTCACTATGGGTTGGAACCGACTCCACGGCACACAGCCACCACCACCACATGCACAATAGAACAAAACACTGAGAAAGATTTTACAATAGAATTTACACGTAAGTAGTCAACAGGTTTGGATAAAAATTAATTTTTCAATGTCAACTTAAATTCTTTATAGAACTTCTTTATAGATTTTATAGAACGTAGTAAAATCAAGATTATTTCAAATGTAAATCTTCTGGAAATTTTTAATCAATGTTTCATTGAAAAATGAAATATGTTAAGCTTGATATTGATTTTCAGTATCACCAAAAAGGTCTAAGAACAGTTCCAGAAGCATCACTCAGACGCAGTCTGCCCAGGAGCCATCATGGGGTGGGTGTTGAGAGGCTCTGCCCTTGGCTAGACAGCCAGTCTGTCGGCCTGGCCTACATGCTAGCTCTGTCACTAGGCAAGCACTTAATCATCATCCTCAGTTCTTTCATCTGCGTAAAGGGATGTTGTTGTTGTTAAGTGCTATCAAGTCAGTTCTGACCCATAGCAACCCTGTGTAAAGGAATCATAACTGTCTATTGCTTAGGACTGGCATGAGGATTAAATGTGTTCAGTTGTGTCGAGAAATTAGGACACTATCTGGCATATACCAAACCATCAGCTTACTGCCTTCGAGTCAGTTCTGACCCATAGCTTTCCAGTTGAGCAGAACAGAAATGCCTCAACGTTTCCAATTCTGTAATCTTTACAAAAGCAGATGGCAACATCCTTGTCCTGCTGAGTGGCTGGTGGATTCGAACCACCAACCTTTCTCTTAGCACTTAACCATTATACCACCAGGGCTGCTACATAATTACAACTTTAAGGATAATGAACTAGATTTGTAGAATTTAACTGTTTTTAAAAATCCTCACTATTCTTGAACCATCTTTTCACTTCAAATATTAGTAGTGGAATGGAATATGTGAAATGTGACTTTTGTTGTCAGTGTTGTTAAATGGTTTTTAAAGTATTTTTAAACTTTTTTTAAAAAATGTATAATGTCATTAGTTACCTACTGTGGTTTCTATATTGTCCTACCATGTCAGAGTGTGTTTGGACACCAATAAACTTGGATAAAAATACACAGTGGAAAAATTGCCTCAAAATAGGCTGGTCACCCTAATAAGCAGTTTATACAGTCTGGATGAGGTACCAACTAGGTAAGAAATCTATTTTTACTCAACATTAGTACCAATTATCACAGAAGGTATATTCAACACACAAATAAAACTTAGTTTTGATGCTAAATTTAGAAGTAAAGTTCATTTCAATAAAAGCTGGATGTGGAAAAAGTGAGTACCTGAACATAATCATTCTGAGGTTTGTTGGTCAGCGAAAAAGTTCCTCTCCAAGACACTGGGCCATGGTGAGGATGGGGAGCAAAGGTGGAAGAAATCACGATATCTGAACACCTACAATGCCGGGGTCTTGAGAGCAAGCATCTCTCAAGGAGAGATGGCCTCAGGAAAAGCAAGAGGTCTCAATTGCTTTCACCTCCATATATACGCTGCCCAGTTGAACATCCTAAATACTTCATAAAGTTACTTGAATGCTACACATCTATGTCTGTGTTATTAATACAATCCACACTATTTGGATAGAGACAGGCAGGAGAAGACAGAGAAGCCAGGTAGGGGACTATAGTAATTCGGGTGAAGGACATCCTGGCTCAGGAAGACATGAGGATGGAGAGAATAGAACAGATCCCAGAGGCGTTTGTATTTATTAAGTCCTGTCGAGTTGATTCCACCCCATAGCAACCATGTGGGTTGCTTGGGCCGCCAACCTTGCAGTTCAAACCGACCTTGCAGTCCAACACAGTAATCCACAGCAGGTGCAGAACTTGGAGACAGATGGGCGGAGTAGGGAGGGGAGTACTGAGGGAAGAAACAATGAAAGTGCCCTGGGTTGCTTTAGGACCCCAGAAACATCATTCTCTGGGAGAGGATGGTTTGGGATAAAGTGTGTCAGGGAGATGAGTTTGGTTCAGGACTGAGAAGACTCGAGTGGAAATGTCTAGAATACAGCTACGTATATGGATCTGAAGTATACGAAATCTGTGCCAAAGAGACAGAGGAGGGAGGCACATGTAAGAGACAATTAAAGCACTAGGAATGGACAGAGATTGAATTGTGTGCAACTGCAGAACATGGGCTTCATTATTCTCAACAAATACTTCAGTCACAGTGTTTTGGTCTTCTCTAAGAGTCTCCTTCACATCTACTTAGAGGGATATCTAGACCAAGCTTGGTATTGGAGTTACATTTTTGGTGTCCTGAGTAGACTGAACCAAATAAGTATAGAATTTATCATTTTGAATTCCATTTTAAGCCTATTAGCATACACTGTCCAAAACGCTGTATGTTAACATGTCCTAGGGTGTGTGCGTAGGCAGTACAATGATGCAATTCATTTCGTAATAAATAAAACTGCCTAATAATAAATTTAATAGTTATGTTGTAAGTAATACTAAACTGAATCACATAATTAGTATCTCTTTTAAAATACTCTAAATATGCATTTTAAGCAAGTGAACGCTAGCACAAGATTGAAAGGCTGTGAGAAAAGGAATTGGCAAGAACATCATCTAAGACATCTAGCCTCTAACATGTGACCCACAAAAGGACAGGCAGGAAGAGGCGGTCACCTGCTCATTGAGTCTGGAGCGCAGCTTGTGGTCTGACAACCAAGGGTGCTTCACTGCTTCACTGGCACTAATTCTCCAGCTGAAAAGAAACCAGAAGGTTGTTAGCAGGACACCAGGTGAGTCCTCTACCATGGGAGCTCAAACAGCTGGATGCCAACCCCTCTTTCTGAGCATCAGGTAGGGCTGTGTGAGTCTGGTATCCATCAGGGTGGCGGCCTCAGAAATGCAGGTAAACTGCATACCTCCAGCCTTTTGTTAGCTAGGGGCACCTGCTTTCACAGGTAAGTCACCATTCTTGATGTACCCTCTGAGCTTCATCAACTGAGCTTCTAGCTGTCAGTTGAAGAGTAAATGTTTACCTATCATTGCAAAAGCAAAGTGCTACAATGATTCTGATGATTGCAAAATCAATTGATGAAAACCTTTGAATTAAGAATTGTTGAATTAAGAACTTTTGACTAGTGAAATAAATAAAATAGATGGAGAGTAGAAATAGCTATTAAGAGAGAGTACACGAGTTAGAATTGATATTTGGTTGAATCTAAGACCAGCTAGATGCCTTTGTTGCGGTTATTAAGTGTGGTCTGGTCAGTACTGACACATAATGACCTTGTTTACGATTTTAGAGTACCGGCTGTGAGCTTGAACAACCGACCTTGCAGTGCAAACCAACCTTGCGGTCCAATGCGTTAATCAGCAGGGCCACACCAGGACTCCTTTAGAAATAAATTACATCCTTTGGAGGCAACAAAATTTTGTACCAAGAACCTCAAAAAATAATAATAAGGCAAAATAATAAAGATTATATTGTGTTCTAATTCTGAACTTCTTAGACTTTCTTGGCATGCTAATTTTGATCACATTAAACAAAATACCCTTTCAAACATTTTAAAAATATAAAAACTTTGAGTTTAAAGCAACAATGTGACATTTGCTTCTGAAAAAATATCAAGAAAGTAGCTTCGAGCAGTGAATGAAACTTCATTTCGAAGGATTGCTTCATCAGATATCAAATACTTCAGTACAAGCATTAAAGAGGAGGCAAGTCTTCGCTTTACTTTACTAGTATTAGAGAGAAGGGAAGCTTAGTAACCTAGCAACACCACCACCAGTACCTGGACCCTTTATGGGCAGAGATTATTTAAAACACACACACAACAACAACAAAAAAAAACACTACAAAACACTGGTCCTCGCCCAATCTCAGTTAATGTGAGATTTGGTTTAGCATCATAAATGTTCCGTACTGACCTCCCAGAAGCACTCTAACAACTGATTAGGCTGAAAATTATTACCCCTCCACTACCACATCAAATCCTGGTGTGGCACCAGGATAATGCACCGGACCACAAGGTCAGTTTAAACCAAAAGGTTGGCGGTTCAAACCTACCAGCCACTCCTTGGAAACCCTAGAGAGGGTCACTATGAGTCAGAACCGACTGGAGAGCTCTTAACAGCAACAGCAACACTATTTAAAAGTTGACAATAAAATTGCACTGATCATTCAATTTTTTCCAAAAAAGTTTCAAGTTTATTCAAAGTAAGTTCAAGAAACTTATTTCATGATGGAAATATTACCGTTGGTCTTAGAGTCAAGCAAATATTGATTCTACTACTTAGTGAGGTGTCACTGCACCCCAGTGTGTATTGGCTGTCCCTGTGGAAACTGAGGGCCCCTCAGACGTGAGGAGTAGGCATGGCACGGGTCTGTTCTGCACGAGCTGTGGGGTCGCTTCACTGCATTCAGACTGGGTCTCCTCACTTGTAAAACAAAGATGAAACCATCATACTTCACAGGGTTATGTGAGGCATTTAAGTTTCTCAGTCCATGTAGACATCCTCTCTTCCAAAGACATAAGGTTCACATTTTCTCTCTGTTCACTGTCTGGGCTGCCCAGAAAACTCACTGAGATTGAGCCGACATCAACTCTCAGCACCTCTGCCATGTGGAGTCCCCGAGGCTGCCATCCCTGCAGAATCAGATTGCCACACCTTTCTCCCACAGTGAGTCAGGTGGGATAGAACTACTGACCTCTCACTGAAGAGCCAAGCACTTAACCACTGGGCCACCAGAGACCCATGCCTGAAGCCTGAACTACAGTAGTGTGCTAATAATAACATCACTTCAATTGTACCTTCCCTTGAAAGCTGAAAAAAAAACAAAAAACAAATATTTGCTGAAAGCCCCCCTCTCAGCCTGGCTAAGTCCTCCTCAACCCTTAGTATTTGGTCCTGGCCCTTGTCAATAAATCATTCAATAACTTCCACACTATTGAGAATAATGGTCCAGCCAAGTAGACCCATATTTTGGGGGTACAATCTATGAGAGGAACTGAACACTTAGTTACTATTTCCTTAGAGACCTTACTATGCTCCTGGCCACGCTGAGCATTTGACAGATATTTTCTCTTTTAGTCACTAATGATAATGGCTGTGTCTACTTGGCTGGACCATTATTCTCAATGGTTTGCAGTTCTGCAATGATCTCCCATGAGGTGATCTCATGTGAGAAGAGGGTTAAGGTGAGATGCAACCCCCCTCATCCTTTCACTGCCCTGATCCCATGTAAGGGGAGTTTTCCTGAGGTGTGTCCTGCAGCACCTTTGATCTCCCAAGAGGTCAAAGAAGAGATGCAAGCAGAGAGAAATGGACCTTGCTTGCATCAAGAAGGAGTCCTGGTGTGGCACTGTGGAGTAATGCATTGGACCGCAAGGTCAGTTAGGAGCACAAAGTCAGAGGTTCAAAATCACCAGCCGCTCCTCAGAAACTTGATATCATTTGGAACTGACTCGACATCACTTAACAACAACAACAACCAAGAAAGAAGAGCCAGGAGTGTCATGCATCCCTTGGAACCAGGGTCCCGGCATTGGGAACTGTCTAGACCCAGGGGGCATTGATGCTAAGGCACATGGAGATCTCCACGGAACTCTGGGTTCACAGGTGCCAAAAAATACAAGGACTTTGGGCCAGTGGTGAAATACAGCCTTCCCGCAGAACTAGTGACCTGGATTCAGATTTCCTACCTCCTAATCTGTAAAAGAACAGATTTCTATTTGTCATAGCCATCCATTGGTGGCACTTCTGTTACAATATCACTGAGAACTGAGACACTGACACAGAATGTGCATGGGGGGACACCAAAAGTTCATGGAAAAAATGTTTCACCTCTCAGTTCTATTCTTCCCAAATCTTTTGAAACCCCCTCTTATGTGTGTTTTAGAGATGAAAGGGACCATAGAAAAAACTTCATGGGCTGGTAAGTAAACTGTGGCCAAAGAAGGTCTTGCTTGCCAGAGCATCCCATCAAAAGGCAGATGGAGAGAGGCTTTGGAGCAACACCATCCAAGCCTGATGACCCACTCAGCTGTGATCTCAGACCAGGAAGTGTGGTATGGAGCATCACATTCATTCTACCTACGACTCTGTACTGAGTATCATAAGGGACTGGAGACAATCTGGCCTGCCTCTAGCCGCTTTGGGAAGTTACCGCCTCTAAATTATCCTTTTGCTTCCTGAGCACAGACTGAGCCCGGCTTACCTTTTCTCCTTAACCAGGAGCTTGGAGATGAACTCCCGGGCTTCCTCTGAGACATCATGAAATTCTTCCTCCTCCAGGTCCCACCTACAGGCTAGGATGTTGTTCAGCGTCTCTGTGTCATTATCACCCAAGAACGGGGACAGGCCGCTAAGTCTAGAAGACAGGAGTCTGAATGAGTGTTTTACTCAACTTCCAGCCCTGTGAGGAAGACGGGTTATTTCTCTGGTTCTGGGGTTTAAAAGCGAGAGAAGGAAAACCAACTAATACGTTAGACTACTTTTTATGACACATTATTGCAATCAAGAAAATGCTTACCAGCTGGGATCTTAAAAGCTCCTGAGCAACCACCTAAGATGAAGCTATTGGTCTCTGTATGTGTGGAAGGAAGAAGAGTGATGAGAATTGAAGATGTTTGGAATCCATTAGTCTAATGGACTAATGGACCCTATGAATATCAGTTTCCACCACTCTGAGACCGGAAGAACTAGATGAAGTCCAGCTACCACTACCAATTGCTCTGAAAGGGATCATTTTAGAAGGTCCTGGACAGAGTGGGAGAAAATGTGCAAAAAAAAAAAAAAAAAATCAAAATTATTTTTTAAAAAATGACTGGGCTTACTGATCAGAAAGAGTCTGGAGGAATCTGAGACTATGGGCCTCGACCACCATTCAGGTCTGGAAAGGAATTCACCTTCGTGACCCAATTACAACCAAGCAGTAGGTAAGTATACGGGAGTGGGGGGGGCTGGGGGTTGGGGAGCAGCAACACTAGTAAGGTATACTCAGCATGGAACAGACAGTCATTCAAAATCAAAAGGGCAACATCTACCTAGGGACTAATCTGTGAGAGGAAGGTAAGGACGATGGAACGGAAATAGGAACCACAGGGAGGAAGTGGGATAACTTGTTGCAGGGAGCAGATGGCAATCACTGAGATGAAAGAAAGTGTCTGATTTGTTGAATACAAAATTTGTCTGCAAGCTTTCACTCAATCCACAATAAAAACAAAAAGAAATTAATGAATAAATAAAATGTTGAGAAAACTCAGGAAAAAAAAAACAAGGAAAGGAAAAGACAATAATCCCGTACCTCAGCCCCAAGACAAAGCATCGCAGTAATGAGCACAGCAGTCATGGAAGAAGCTGGGCCTGAACAAAGAGCACATTTCTCCCACGTGTGTGCGGCAAACGCCAGGCACGTCCCCTGGGAACCGGAGGCTGCCAGCATGCCCCTTGTGACTCCAGGACACAGAGTTTTAAAGACCCTTGGGATCCCTGGTGGTACGAGAAGGTACCACAAGGTCAGCAGCTCAAACCCCAGCTGTTGCATGAGAGAAAATGAGGCTTTCTGTTCCCGTAAAGATTTATAGCCTCAAAAACCCTCTGGGATCCAGTTGAGTTAAAATTGATTTGAGAGCAGTGGGTCGGTTGGTTGTTTTTTTAAGGCCCTAGGAGTTGCCCTAGTAGTTAATTGACTAGTCTGTGGGGTATAATTCACTCTCTGTGTGCCCTTGGGGACCCAGAGAGCCCAGAAAGCAGTTGAGTATGGTTATGTAGTACACTGTAATTTTTTACTGTAAAATAAATATAACAATGTATTTCTCACATTAACTATTTTTATGTGTGTAATTCAGTGGCATTAATTACATTCACCATGTTATGCAGCAATTACTACCTGGCTTCTCATCCCCCTAAAGAGAAATGTACCAACAGGAAATGGTCAATGTTCAACTGTTTCAAACAATCAAGGGCCAATGATACTGAAGGAAGTCCAAGGTGCATTGAATTACTTGGCAAAGAACAAGGCACTGGGAATTGGTGGAATACAAATTGAAATCTTTCGACAAAGTGAGACCACACTGGAGACACTCACTCATCTATGCCAAGAAATTTGGAAGGCAACTATCTGGCCAACTGATTGGAAGAGATCTGTATTTATGACCATTCCAAAGAGAGGGGACATGTGGAAATCATAGGGCAATATCTCTGATATCCCAAGCAAGCAAAGTTTTACTAAAGGTACTACAGAAACGGCTGCAAGCATACATTGACAGAGAACTTCCAGAGGTTCAATCCAGTTTAGGAAGAGGACTGGAAATGAGGGATATCATTGCTAACATCAGATGGATCTTGGCTAAAAGCAGAGAATATCAGAAAGATGTTTACTTGTGCTTTACTGAGTATGCAAAGGCTTTCGATTATGTGGATCATGACAAGCTATGGACAACATTGTGAAGTATGAGTATTCCTGAACACTTAATTGTGCTCATGAGGAATCTGTATGAAGACCAAGAGGCAGTTGTTTGAACAGAACATGGGAACACTGAATGGTTTCAAATTTAAACAGGTGTGCAACAGAGTTGTTTTCTTTTACCATACTTATTCAACCTGTATGCTGAGCAAATAATCTGAGAATCTGGGTTTATATGAAGAAAAACGTCGCATCAGGATTGGAGGAAGACTCATTAACAACCTGCGATATGCAACCTTGCCACACTGAAAGTGGAGGACTTAAAATACTTACTGATGAAGATCAAAGATGCCTTTGGTATGGATTGCATCTCAATGTAAAGAAAACAAAAATACTCACCACTGGACCAATAAACAACATTCTTATCAATGGAGAAAAGATGGAAGTTGTTAAAGACTTCATTTTACTCAGGTCAACCATCAACACTTATGGAAACAGCAGTCAAGATATCAATCAACATATTGCATTAGGCAAATCTGCTGCACAAGATCTTTTTAAAGGGTTGAAGAGCAAAGATGTCAACTTGAAGACTAAGGTGCACCTGACCCAAGCCATGGTATTTTCAATAACCTCATATTCATGCGTAAATTGGACAGTGAATAAGGAAGACCGTAGAAGAATTGATGCTTTTGAGTTATGGTGTTGGAGGAGAATATTGAAAGTACCATGGGCTGCCAAAAGAACCAACAGATCTGTGTTGGAAGAAGTGCATCCATTGTCTCTTTGGAGGCTAGGATAGCCAAACTTCATCTCTCATATTTTGGACATATTGTTAGGAGGGACCAGTCACTGGAAAAGGATATCATGTTTGGTAAGGTGGAGGGTCAGAGAAAAAGAGGAAGACTCCCAGCAAGATGGATTGGCAAAGTGGCAACATCAATGGGCTCAAGTGTGGCAACAATTGTGAGGTAGGCCCAGGACCGGGCAGTGTTTCGTTCTGTTGTGCCTAAGGTCGCTATGGGTTGGTACCAACTGCATGGCACCTAACAACAACAACAAAGAGAAATTAATGAAGCCCTGGTGAGCAGTGGTTAAGCACTCAGCTGCAAACCAAAAGGTTGGCGGTTTGAACCCACAGCCACTCCACACGAGAAAGATATGGAGACCTGCTTCCGTAAAGATGGCAGCCTTGGAAACCCAATGAGGCAGTCATGCTCTGTCCTGCAGAATTCCTGTGAGTCAGTCAATTCAGCAACAGTGGTTTTATGGGAAATAGAGTCTGAGTCCATGGGTGGTACAGTTACAGTGGGATGGCTAAAGTGGCTGGCTTTTGACCAAAAGTTTCGAGTTCCAAGTCCACCCAGAGTCGTCTTGGAAAAGAAAGACCTTTCCATCTCCTTCTAGAAGGTCACAGACATTGAAAGCCCTGTGGAACAGAATTCAACTTTGACACACATAGCGTTGCTCTGAGTCATGGTCCACTCAGTAT